GGTGTAGTTGTGACGTATGTGTGCACACAGTCGTTTTTAGTGATCATCTGTCCTGCAGTTACACTGTATGGAAATCCCTGAAAACCTTTGCCTTAATACACTTGGAATTTGGCTTTAATAAGGTCCGAGGACAGCTGTCAAAAGCCTTTGCCGTTTCCTAACTTTTACCCCAGGCACACTGGCTTCTGTTTATTTGGTTTTCGTTCTCTGGATTAATACTCAGGAAACCAGAGCTGGATCTCTCTTGGCACTCATACATGCAATGCTCAGGTTATGAGTCTGCATCGTTAACCACCACGGCCCTAGCTGCTGCCCAACGTTCACTGTCCTACAGTGTGAGATGATGCCAGTGTTTAAAGTTTCATTGTTGTTTCCTCTGTGCTTTTCCTGTATCAAGAACAGGCATATTGTTCAGGTCAGATCCTGACACATTTATAAGAACCATCCACACATGTACGTATGTATGTCATTTGCATGACTCTTTTACATTGGAAGTAAAATAATACCCTTGGCCAGAACCCATCCCCAAAACCTGGTAGTGACCCAATCTCTCAGTACCTACTTGGTGTCAGGATCAGTCCCTGTCCTGCCCCTTCTGTATGCCAGTTCCCCATTTGGCCAGCTGGTGTCGTTGGCCATCCTGTCTCCCGATGTTTCCCGGGTCTGTTCTGTTCCTAGTGTGTTTCCCTATTTCCTGGGCAGCTGCCAGGAAATGGGCTAATGGGCTAAGCGGGTGGCTGCAAAGTGAACATCATCTTCATCATGGGTTCGCTTGTTAAACATTTTTATGTTCCGTGCCCCTAGATTCAGTTGTGTATCCATGTTTATTATGGTTCCTTGTGTTTTTGTATGATTCCTTGTTTTTGACCTTGGTCAGTTGTCTGTGTTTGTATCTATTTTTGTTGTTATGTCCTGGTTCACCTGTATTCCCTTTGTCTCCAGTGAAGTCTTATTCCATAGTGTTTGATTGTGACTACTTTCACCTGCATGTAATTGTAATTGCCCCACACCTGTCCCTCGTCTTACCCTCATTATCTGTGCATATATGTGCCTGCCCATGCCCTTGTTTCTCAGTTGGTCACTGTGTTTGTAGCTGTTGTTGTTCTATTATAGTTATTCCTGTGCTGCTCTTATTCCTGTGTTGCTCCTTGCCTTAGCTTTTCTTGTCTGCCTGCTTTGTATTTGATCATTTGTGATTCCTTTTGTTTCTTGTTTATGAGTTGAAATAAAGTCCTTTGACAGTGTGGATTGTCCCAATGTTCTTCATTGTGCCCATTCGGGACAGTTGGCTATTGAGTGCAAGCGACTGTGGGCCTGCAGTGCTGAAAAACATTTGACAGGAAGATGCCCCTGTGTCTGACATTGGCCTGAGAGGGTGTGTCTCATCGCTGCCATGGCAGAAGGACAGGAACACATTGTGGGCTGCTTGACCCACCACACCAGGTTCTGGCCTTTTGCTGTACTTTTGAACCCGATTCTTGGTCCTCAGTGGCCCCTCTGTCTTCTTTAAAATGTCATTTTGTTTGTTTCCATAACCAGTCAGATTTGAAAGATTAAGCAGTAAGATTAATAATTAGGAATATTATATTTGTTTTTTTAGTTAGAAGAATTGTCGTCCAGACTGACATATGTGGACAGGGTAGGAGACACTGTAAAAACAATGCCAGTACCTAACACTAATGTCACTGAACACCGTATGTCATTACTCAGCAAATATCTAATGGAATGCTTCTCAGTGCTGATTTCATGTATAAAATCAATGGGCTGCCTGACACATTGAGTCACCGTTTGAATTTATACTCTTGTTCCCGCCCATACGGAGTTACATGGATGATGTCACCATACTCCTCCAAACAGCAGCGTGCACAGCAAGACTCCTAAAAAGGCTGGAGGAATTGCTAGCATGGACCCGCATGAAAATCAAGCCCACAAAGTCCCACAGCCTCTCAATCCGGAAAGGGGTTAGGAATGACAACATCTGTTTCACCGTGGATCATGAAAGGATTCCCCTGGTAGTGGAAAAACCAGTGCGAAGCCTCGGAAGGCTATATACGGCCATACCTGTCAAGTTTTGGATTTGAAAATAAGGGAAATTATCCGGCACCCACCGCGAGCCATCCCACCACCCCAGCCAAGCTCCAGTATCCCTTACATTTTAAGACAGGTGTACAAGAAATCTAAAATAACCACTTGTCATTTACATTTTATTTTCATTACACATTTTCTTTTAATTTCTCATGTTCACTCATGTGGCTCTCTGGCATTCACTAATGACTTATTATACAGATTTGTTGCAGACTTTGTATCCTTGTTGAAGTCGTCACAGAAGGTGAAAGTAACGTTGTTTTCCGCACACAGCATTGCCATTTTAACCTCCGCATTTATGACCTGGTTAATGTTGTAAATGACCTGCAGGCTACTGCAGGTGGCAGTTCTCGCGAGGCTACTGGCAGTTCAGTTTGGAGAGGCAGAGGAATTTTTTTAAATAATATTATAATACGGGAGATTTACGGGAAAATACTAATGGCGGGAAAGAGGGGTAAAATACGGAAGTTTCCCGGCCAAAACTTGACAGCTATGTATACGGCTGATCTTTCCGACAAGCATATGGCCTCAGCCATTACAACCCAACTCATGGACGGCCTTCACCAGATCAATCAGTGCTCCCTGCCTGGAAAATTCAAGGTTTGGTGTTACCAGTTCACTTTGTACCAACGCATAATGTTGCCACTGAAGCTGTGCGAGATCACCATGACAACACTCCTGAAACTGGAAGCAAAGGCCAACAATTACATCAGGAAATGGCTCGGCCTTCCCCGCTGCCTCTCCAATGCAGCACTCTGGCAAAAATATACTACAGCTCCCACTTCAATCAATCAGCCTGGGCTACAAGAAGGAGAAGGTGAGACTCTTATTCGAGCTAAGAGACTCAGCAGACCCTTTCTATCCAAAATGCAGACGTACAAGTCCGGACTGGTCGAAAGTGAAATGTAGCACAAGCAGTAGATATGGCCACAGAGAGGCTGAAACACCAGGAGATTGTGGGCTTTATGCAGCCTGGCAGAGCTGGATTAAGATGGGGAGCACCAGTGCTAAGATGGTCTAAAGCCAATAAGAAGGAGAGGAAAGATCTCATCATCTCCGAGGTGACCAAAATGGATGAGGAGCACTCCAAAGTTACAGCAGTGAGCCAACAACAGCAAGGCAAATGGTCCACCTGGGAAGCTGTGACCAGCAGGACCATTACCTGGGCGGATATGTGGAGCCAGGGCCACTTATGACACACTTCCCAGCCCCCGCAATCTTTACACCTGGTATGGCTCAGAAGAACCCTGCTACCTCTGCAGCTCCCCAAACCCAGGCCTCAAGCACATCCTATGCAGCTGTAAGGCAGCACTGACACAGGGCAGATGTAGATGGCAGCACGACAAAGTCCTGTGCAAGCTGGCTGAGCTGCCGGAGACACGGAGGCTGGAGGTAAACCGTGCCAGGGATGGATCCAGTTCATTAGGCAAGTGGGAGTAACACAGCGCAGCACCAACGTAGGGTTCACCCTCTTGTCCCCGGGGGGAGAGTGGCAGCTGATCTAGGTCGCCAGCTGAAATTTCCGGTCGAGATCACCAGTTCACCCCTTCGCCCTGACATAGTGCTCTGGTCAACACCCGCCAAAGTAGTCATTCTGGTGGAGCTGACCGTCCCATGGGAGGAGGAGATGGAGGCTGCCTATGAGAGGAAGAGAGAGAGGTGTGCAGACCTGGCTGCTGCATGCTCTCAAGCCGGCTGGAGGGCTTTTACATTCCCGGTGGAAGTCGGGTGCAGGGGCTTTGTTGGAACATCCATGCAGCGGCTCCAGAAAACCTTTGGTCTCACTGGCCACAGGAAGAGGAGAGCAATGCAAGATCTAGCTCATGAGGCAGAGCAAGGGAGCTTCTGGCTCTGGGTCCGAAGGAAGGACTAGGCGTGGGGGAGAGAGGGATCTTAGGGCAGGCTGCAGGGAGCGTTAGGGAGACGTCCCTTTCGCTGCTCCACCACCCTGAGATGTTCAGTGATGTGTGTCTGACAGGCACATGTGTTTGTAATGTGTGTCTGAGATGCACATGCATCTATGATGTGTGTCTGACCTGCACATATGTTTGTAATGCATGACTGACCTGTACATGCATCAATGGATGGATGAATGATACGTACATACATACATACATACATACATACATACTCACACTCATCCCCCAGTGTGTCATTATTCTGTGAGGAGAGGCTCACCCTCCCATGCGTCATTAATCTGTGAGGCAAGGCCCAACCTCCCGTGCATCTTTATTCTGTTAGGACACACTCACCCCCCAGTGTGTCGTTATTCTGTGAGGACATACTTACCCTCCTGTGTGCTGTTACTCTGTGAGGACATACTCACCCTCCAGTGTGTCGTTATTCTGTGAGGACACACTTACCCTCCAGTGTGTCGTTATTCTGTGAGGAGAGGTTCACCCTCCTGTGTATCGTTATTCTGTGAGGACATACTTACCCTCCTGTGTGCTGTTACTCTGTGAGGACGTGCTCACCCTCCAGTGTGTCGTTATTCTGTGAGGACACACTTACCCTCCAGTGTGTCGTTATTCTGTGAGGACACACTCACGCTCCAGTGTGTCATTATTTTGTGAGGACACGCTTCCCCTCCAGTGTGTCGTTATTCTGGTAGGACACGCTCACGCTCTAGTGTGTCATTATTCTGTGAGGACATGCTTCCCCTATAGTGTGTCGTTATTCTGTGAGGACACACTCACGCTCCAGTGTGTCNAGTGTGTCATTATTCTGTGAGGACATGCTTCCCCTATAGTGTGTCGTTATTCTGTGAGGACACACTCACGCTCCAGTGTGTCTTTATTCTGTGAGGACACGCTTCCCCTCCAGTGTGTCGTTATTTTGTGAGAACACACTCACCCTCCAGTGTGTTGTTATTCCATGAGAACGCACTCACCCTCCTGTTTGTTGCCCGATTGCAGGCAGAGAAGAAGGCCCAACGCATTGCTGTGATGAACATGATGGAGGAGTGTGCTGGCTCACAGCTTCAGAGGGAAGAAGAGATGACCCCAGTGGAGAGCAGCCCCCCTCTCCCTCCCCCTCCCACTCCCCCGCAGCAACAGCCCACAGACCCTGCCTCCCCCACCGTGGCAACCACCCCGGAACCTGTCCCTGTCGGGAGCGGGGACAAGGGCCCACCCAAAACCATCGACACAGAGCCGGAATACGAGGTGAACCCTTTCACCCTAACTCTAACCTCATAAATTACCACCTTATGGCATTTGTGAACTGAATACCAATCACCAGCACAAAGAGTATCACTACTGAGATTTACAGATATTGGTTTGTAACATGAATGCAGTACATGAAGAGGAATCCATTAAGAAACTGTTCTGGCAGCCTTGAAATTGTAGTTAATTTTTATCAGTATTGCAGTTTTCACTATTTCTTGAAAGTGGTTAAAGAAATCCCCAGACTTTACATCACAGGAATCTAGGACTGATTTGTGCTGTGTTTTGTGGTGTATATGTTGTGACGTCTCTGAGAAATCAGGGGTGTGTTATTGCAAAGTGCACAATTTAAAATGGTGAGAAAACATTGGTTTGGTTTGTTTATGCAGTTGTCCAAGTAGACCATGGAACATTTTGAATATTTTAATGTCCTTATTTTTATTATGCCAACTTATACAGACAGTTCTTGACTGATGTAAGTAATCAGTTCCACAAGCCCTTACATAAGTCAGATTTTACCTATATGACATCTTTTTGTGTTCGTGTTTCTGAAAACCCTGTATATCTCGGATATTTTTTGTTCAAGTGCAAGTTTACTTCAGTCAGCTGCCTGTATTTTGGATGGTGTTGGATCGCCTTCGGGTACTAGAACCCATTATGGCTCTTTTATGTGAAGACATGGGGGCGGTGCCATGTTTCAGTGGGTGGGGGTTTCCAGGTCACTCTGCCCAATGGGTGTGTTTGTCACAGGATGGGCGTGGCTTCGGGATTGGCGAGCTGGTCTGGGGGAAGCTGCGCGGGTTCTCCTGGTGGCCCGGCTACATCGTGTCCTGGGTGGCAACAGGTCGAAGTCGGGCCGCAGAGGGAACCAGATGGGTCAAGTGGTTCGGTGACGGGAAATTCTCCGTGGTGAGTACGAGTGCGCTCTATCCTTTGGGGTATTGATCCAGTTCTTGGGTCATACACAGGTGCTGACACTCACCAGACACACTGGGTAAATGACAGTGTGTTACAGCTGAATCAGACATGATCTCCTGCACATTTCACACGGTCTTGGACAAATGGACTGTACCTCACCACCTCATTTAGCAGAACACCATTGGACTCTGCAGGAACTCCTTTCAGACCACAGTATACAAGAATCGATCATGGCTAACGAGAAATACAGTTTAATCACTACTTCAGTACTCACTCGAGGGTGACTTACAGTGCAGCTATTGTGTTTTTTTATATGTCTTTCCCTAAATCAATTGACTATATTTCCCTAGAGTTATATAAATTGGTCGGAGTTTGAAATCCCAAAGTGATCTCGAGAAATGCAGTGAGGTGTACTGATCTCCATATTGCACGGAGAGCTGGGACTGATGGATCCTGCAGTTTGTAGTTGTGGGGTTTATAGTCATTGGGGTTTATGGTAAAGGTGTAAATACCCTTTGTGTTAATGTGTAAATGCACGTCATACTCCCCCTGCAGGGACTGTGTGGTAATGCTGCCTGGTCACTGTTGTGCCTTTGAAATGTCTGTAACCATCCTGGCATTCAAAGCAGCTCCAACTATTGGAAAGTGAAGTTCTACATGAACTGATAAAATGGTCTTCTGGCTGATTAAGACCAAGTTTTCCCACATTTGATTAATCAACGAATCTTTGATTTCATCTGGCATGCATTCATTGCACTGTGAGATATGCCTGCAATCACTGAATGCCCCTTCTGCCCCTGACAGGTTTGCTTGGAGAAGTTGTTGCCATTAAGCTCCTTTTCAAATGCGTTTCACCAACCCACCTACAGCAAGCAACCCATGTACAAGAAAGCGATCTACGAAGTCCTGCAGGTGAGCCCCACCACAACTCCAGTGTTCCAGGAAGCACAGGGCAGTAATCCACTTTCTACGTTATTGGTGTTTGCACTGAATCTGGTGATTCCATGCTGTCAAACCCTATACAGTGCTCTCCTGTTCAGAACGACTACAGCTATAACCTCATACAATGCTCTCCAGTGCAGAATGCCCAGAGTTATAAACTGATACAACGCTCTCCAGTGCAGAATGTCCAGTTATAACCCCGTGCAGTGCTCACCAGTGCAGAATGCCAACAGTTAGAACCTCGTACCGTGCTCACCAGTGCTGAATGACCACAGTTATAACTCCATGCAGTGCCTGCCAACAAGTGGTGCTCGAGATTTTGGACCCCATGAATACACTTTCCTTTACGTCACCCCTGCTTGCCAGTGAACTGCAGTTGGAACCCCATGCGGTGGGACTCACCAGTACAGTTAATGACAGTGAATAAGCTAGATCAGTGACCACCCTACTTCAGGCTCCAGTGTAACAGACTGCACCCTCACAGGTGGCCAGTTCTCGAGCTGGCAAGATCTTCCCTGCCTGCCCAGACAGTGACGAAGGTGACACATCCAAGTCTGTGGACCTGCAGAACAAGCAGATGATTGACTGGGCCATGACTGGCTTCCAACCCACTGGGCCCAAGGGCCTGGAGCCTCCCCAAGGTGAGTGCCCCCCTCACACGCACACACACACGTGCTCAGGGCAGACTCCACCCAGCTTTCAGTGTTAGCTGGGGCCACCCTGTCTTCAGCTTGTGCTTTGGCTTCTGTCACTGCTGTTCCTGGCCTGTGACAGTGCTGACAGCGTAACCGTCCAAGGCTGAGGGGAAATCTTCAGCAGTCTCCAAAGAGCAGAGATCGGCATCCACATAATCACCTTTGAGAGACATCTGTTGTGTCATATGCTTCGATTTATTTTTCCTTGATGTGAAAGTAATTTTATATTTGTTTTTTCATATGTAGTTTTAATGCAAATGCATGAAATTTCTTTTCCTTTTATAGGAAAGTATTCTTTCCACTTCTGAGAGATGTGGAATAGCACAGTTTAGCGTTAACTTGCAATGTCAGTGTCTTATCATGTAAATGTTGGGAAAACCTTAGTTTACTCGAGTCCACAGTCACTCGGTAAATTGACAGGAAAATTGTTTGTAGTCAGAACAGTCCGATGATCTGTGGTGAAGTCATTCCCAGGCTGACGAGTGTACATATCGCGACCCGAGAGGACTTGAGGCGAAATTAACAGCCTGTAAGCTGAGTTATTGTCTCACTTTGCCGGCTGTGGCCGTCTCATACTCAATGGTCATCTCTGTGCCTGCCCACCATAGAAGAACGCAACAAAGAAGTTTACCATGAGATGTGGATAGAGCCTGAGGCTGCCTCTTACACCCCGCCCCCTCCAGCCAAAAAGCCCCGTAAGAGCACAACGGAAAAACCCAAGATCAAGGAAATTGTCGACGAGGGGACTCGAGGTAGCTGATATTCTTCGTACTTTCCGTGCTCAGTTATACTGTATCAAAGGGTAACCCTTCACATTAACTGCACTTTCATATTGCATTCATTGTGTATTCATAAAACATTCAATGCACCTTCATAATTCATTCATAATGCATCCATAAGCAGCATGTAAGTATACCTTAATATCCCAACGTAACTTAACAGCTTTAATTTCTCGCACACACATCACACTGTCTATGAATGAGTCCAACAGCAAGAACGAAAATGATTATGATTGTTTTGGAGAGCACATGCAGAGCTCCTGCAAAAGTAGCAGCGGTAAACTTTAGACTAATTTTTTCAACCTCTAACTAGATAATGTTAAAATTTCATGTACATGCATTGTTAAATCGCAAGAACTGCAACAGTCAGCTGGGTTCAAACCATTCACACCTGCACTTAATGTTTCCCTTCCTTTTGAAGGTCACTTGATGTCATCGTCCGATTCATGAGAAACTGTCGGATAAGTTAACAGTCATCTCTGGCATTAGAAAATTGCTTCTGCCCTTTACCTGGCTGGTTTTTGGTTATTGCCAGAACCTTCTGCTTCACATTCTTCTTGTGTACTGCTGTCTTATATTATATTATATTATATTATATTACAGTATATTATATTATATTATATTATATTATATTATATTATATTATATTATATTATATTACAGTATATTATATTATATTATATATAAACAATTCCTCAATGAATCTTAAGATTAATCGAAAGATTACTTGATCATTGTTATTATCGAGTGACAGCCTTAAACCAGTCCAATGAAGAAAAAATTACGCATCCTGATCTACAGGCCCTAGTAAAAGGGGAAGCTACCTCCTGATGTGGAGTTAAATGTCTGTTTGAGTCTGTATGGAGGAGCCATGAACCAAATCAGCTGGAATAATGTTCAGGTTCTGTAAGTGCCTTGATATTGTTCAGGTCCGGTAGGTGCCGTGATATTGTTCAGGTCCGGCAGGTGCCGTGATATTGTTCAGGTCCGGTAGGTGCCGTGATATTGTTCAGGTCCGGCAGGTGCCGTGATATTGTTCAGGTCCAGTAGGTGCCGTGATATTGTTCAGGTCTGGCAGATGCTGTAATATTGCTAAATACAGAAATTGCTGTAATAGTATACAGGTTCTGTTGGTGCTGTAACAACTTTCAAGGGAACAGTGTGTGGCTCTGTGGGTTAGGACTCATGATCAGAAGGTTGTTGGTTTAAAACCCACAGTTGGCTGAGTGAAATCATCATGGGGCCCTTGAGCAAGGTCCTTAACCTCAATTGCTCCAGGTACTGTCTGAGCCTGCTTTCTCAAGTGTACATCTCTTTAGATAAAAGTGTCTGCTATGTAAATGAATGTTAACATTCTGTAGTGCTGTAATGACGTTCAGGTTCTGTCTGTACAATAACGATGTCCTTTGGTTCCATAGTAGTGCCCCAAGGGTCTGTGTTGTTTGCACCTGAGCTTTCAGTGTCTGACTGAACACCTCTACTTCTGTTCTTCTCCCACCCCATTCCAGAGAGACTTGTGTATGAAGTGCGGCAAAAATGCAGGAACATTGAAGGTAGGTTGTGATTGCTGTCCTTCTGAAAGGCTGCTTTTTCTGCCCTCAAACCATCTCTTTACCTGCTTGCATTTGGTTTCTGTTAGATCATCACTGTCTGTGCATGGTTTACTGCACAGAAATTCATAGATGTTTCAGATTTTCACCTGAAGACTGAATGTTAGCCAACTTTTCAATTTTAATACAATTTGGGCCTCTGGTCTTCTGTCCCCAGCAGCTGTTTGGTGACTGTGAGCTAACTGGCTTTTTTCTCCACAGACATTTGCATCTCTTGTGGAAGCCTGAGCGTTTCACTGGAACACCCACTCTTCATCGGCGGCATGTGCCAAAGCTGCAAGGTAAGGCTGAGCTCCCTGGCAAGTAGGGCTGAGTCGCCGTCGACTATGTACCTCGCTGGTTAGCGGTTTGGGCTAGGGGTTAGTAATGGAGGTCATGGTTAGCAGTGAGCATTACCAGCTAAGTCGCGTTCAGCCATGTATCTGCGTTGGTTAGTGGTTTGGGCTAGGGGTTAGCTATGCAGGTCATGGTTAGCAGTGAGCGTTACCAGCTAAGTCGCGTTCAGCCATGTATCTGCGTTGGTTAGCGGTTTGGGCTAGGGGTTAGCTATGCAGGTCATGGTTAGCCGTAAGCATTAGCAGCGGAATCAACAGTTCTAAACGGAGCTGGAGTTCCACTGAGAATCTCCTTAAACGAGCGGTATGATAGGCTTTATGTGTATGCTGCAGCGTGTGGCTCTGGGTTAGCCAATCAGCCCAATGGTGTGTATTGCAGAACTGTTTCCTGGAATGTGCATACCAGTACGATGACGACGGCTACCAGTCCTACTGCACGATCTGCTGTGGCGGCCGCGAGGTGCTCATGTGTGGAAACAACAATTGCTGTCGGTGAGAACATCTGCGCTCCCAACGGAGAGCTTGTCAGCATCCTCTCTTATCTGCAAGGTCTCCATAAAGCTTCGGGTGTCCACACCTGGTTCACTTACACCTGTGGTTTGTGACAGCAGCACGTTTGACGAGTCTAGTCGGACTTTGTCGGGGATCGGTTTTGATTGGCCATGGTTCTCCTGCAGGTGTTTCTGTGTGGAGTGTGTGGACCTTCTGGTGGGACCAGGCGCGGCCCAGGCGGCCATCAAAGAGGACCCGTGGAATTGCTACATGTGTGGCCACAAGAACATCTATGGGCTGCTGAGGAGGCGCGACGACTGGCCCTGTCGCCTGCAGCACTTCTTCGCTAACAACCATGACCAGGACTTCGTGAGTGCCGGCTTATTGGGTCGGATCTGGCTACTCCAGCACCAGCACTGTGGCCTCCAACCCAGGCATTCTTTCTGTGTTTTCCAGGAACCACCAAAGCTTTACCCACCAGTTGCCGCTGAAAAGAGACAACCTATTCGTGTCCTCTCGCTGTTTGACGGCATAGCAACTGGTGAGATTGCCCCCCCCCGGCCCACATCTAGCAGATTTTTATTTGAAGGCTTTGCATTGGGTCAATCCCGATTTGGCAGAAACTGCATAAGATAGATAATCCTTTGTTAGACTTTAAAATTGGGAATCGCTGCAAATAGCACTTCATTCCCAAAAGTTTGTCAGGAGGAGTGGGAGCAGTTTAACCTTCTGTATCAGTATGACCTCTGACCTTTTGGCAGGACTGCTGGTGCTAAAGGAGCTGGGGATTCAGGTGAAGAGGTACATCGCCTCTGAGGTGTGTGAGGACTCCATCACTGTGGGCATCGTGCGGCACCAAGGCCGCATCATGTACGTGGGGGACGTGCGGAACGTCACCCGAAAGAACGTGAGTGGTCCTCTGGCGCCGTGGCCTTTGCCTTGCTGGCTGCCTTATAGTCAGGGCCTCTGCACACATTTCCAGGGCTTGGGGGTAATCAATCAACCATATTGTTCATTTTATGCGTTTCGAGCCCCTTATTCTGAGACCCAAACCATCCTTAATACATGTTTTCATTCTGATTTGGCTTTGAGTGATATGAGGTCCGTAAAGGCAGCATGTTCCTCGCATGTCTGCATCCTGATGATTCTTCTTCTGAATGCTGGCGCTTTTTGTATGTTGGTTCTTCTACTGAATGTTGGTGCTTCTTCCCACAGCCCTGGGGAACAAAACTAACCGCCTGATAGATAGTCAGTCTTGGTCGGGGGTTAGAGCTGCTCAAATGAAATATGCAGAACCTTCTCTCTCCTTTTGACAGATTCAGGAATGGGGCCCCTTTGACTTGGTAATTGGTGGAAGCCCATGTAATGACCTCTCCATCGTCAATCCTGCAAGGAAGGGGCTCTATGGTATGCTGTCTCCCTGGCTACAGACTGCTCTAAGTAAAAACATGGTTTAATCGTTAATAAGTTATTTAATAGCAACATTGCGTTGGGTTTGCACTGAGAACCTTTGAGAGCACAGATCCTGTTATTGTTAGTGTTTAGGAGACCAAAGGACAAACACGAAAAACTGTGCAACACGAAAAAAGGTGCATTATTTAACTGTGAGTGGGTGGATCAAAGTTACTGAATGTTGCAAGGATTAGGGGAGAGTTAACCTGCAAAGGTGTGAAGTCTCTGTTTGTCCATGTACAACTTGAATGCAAGACTGTCTGTCCGCTAAATAGGCTTCCTCATTCAAAAAGAAGTCACTGGTTCCCCAATGTTCTGCAAGCTCTTGCTCTGGGACCTTTGAGACATTCACCGAAGGGGTAAAACTAATCTTGTGCTCTGTTTCCTAGAGGGCACAGGACGTTTGTTCTTCGAGTTCTACCGGCTACTCCATGAGGCCCGTCCAAAGCCAGACGACAACCGGCCCTTCTTTTGGCTTTTTGAGAACGTAGTTGCCATGGGCGTCAGCGATAAGAGGGATATCTCTCGCTTTCTGGAGGTAGCCTAACCCGACACTTGTTTTTAGCCATAAGTAAAGGTTTAGCTGGTGTCCTTGGTTGGAGCAGAAGATCAGATTTAGTGGCCTTGCCTCCAAACACTAATTTATGGCTAATGACTGCCACTCTGTGGCAATGATGTGTACTGCAATCAGTTTTACATGTAGAGCAGGGGTGTCAAACTCCAGTCCTGGAGGGCCGGAGCCCTGCACATTTTTGGATTTCCCCTCATTTAACACACCAGGTTCAACTCCTTGTACCTCCTTGTGCTAATTACCACACAGCTCCTGAGCTGAATTATTTGTGGTGGAATCAGGAAAGAACTAAGCTACACAGGGCTCCGGCCCCCCAGGACTGGAGTTTGACACCCCGGATGTAGAGTATACTAATTTTTATGAATGATATAGATTGACGTCATTTCAGTTAGTATATTTTCAAATAAAATGATAATTTATTTTAAATGTTTTAACTGTAAGTCTCAAGTATTTTTGACAATGTTACATTGAAGTTGAATTGCTGCTCGTAATTTTTTTGGCATTTGGCTATTTTTTACAAGACTTAAATCAACGTTAGAGTAAAATTTCTAAGTTAAATTCCCTGACTAGAATGTTCTCATTCCTTTTGCCTCTTTTAGAAACCACATGCTGAGTGTTTTAACCGAATGACTCTATAGCCCAGTCAGTGTCTGCACGGGTGACAGGTCTCCCTGTTAGATGGGGCTCAGTCTGGATCTTCTCTCCCTGCAGTGTAACCCGGTGATGATTGACGCTAAGGACGTGTCAGCTGCTCACCGCGCCCGTTACTTCTGGGGTAACCTTCCTGGCATGAACAGGTGAGAAAGGTTGGCTCCCCTAAGGGTCCGGGTGTTCTGTGGCCAGATTATGAGCTAAATGAGTCTGCTGGGCAGCCATGTTGTAATCTGAAGGGATTCAGTTTAGGGGGGGCTCTTTTGGTGTCTGACATGGCTGTGGCGGGGGTGGGGGGTCATGTTGTAAAGGGATGGGAATGGTCTTGGAGGGCCATTTTGGTGTCTGATAGGACATGACCCTGAAGGGTCGTGTCAGGTGGTGTTTATGTTGCTGTCTGATAGGTCATGGCTGTGGGGGGTTATGTTGTTGTATAGCTTCTAGTGGGTGGAGGGTGGGGTCTGTTTCCATAGCTACTGGCCGGAGTTGCAGATCCTCCTCCGCACCGCAGTATGAAGTATATTTTAATTGCCATCCTCTTCTTAAAAATTTAAACAGGATTTTCATCAGGATGCCGCAGCAGGAAGCCAATGGAGGATTTCCGTGGAAATCCTTCTTAATGTTTCATGATAAAAAATACTGCATTGAATTTGCTTAGTGCTTTTCAAGAACCCAGAAACAGAGGACCCAGATAGCCTAATACATGCCAGAAACTCAGTGGACAGTGTAGAATCTCAGTCAGCATTCATGACGAACTTATATTTACGTTTCATGTTCCAAAGTGTGTGAAAGTGGGTCACTCAGAACAGAACACAGCCTTTCCGTTTCCATTAATAGTAACAGTTGGTCCATTTTTGAACGCAGTTATCTGAAATATTAAAGTCATGAAGGAGGTTGCTTTAACAAAATGGTACCAATGTTATGTACTGAATAAAGGAGAGTACCAAGAACATCTTGGTAATTTATGGCTGGGTTTTAGTTCTAGATACAGTGTTGTGTCCAGAGTTCAGATTTGAATGTTTTGGTGAGCCATAGACACAGCACAGTCATAGTTATTAGTGATTGAACAGCAGCTTGGACTGGCACTGTAATCTCACGGTGAACTGTTTCTTAGGCTTGGTGAATAGCCTTTTGTTGGGACTGCTCAGCAGCTTGGACTGGCACTGTAATCTCACTGTGAACTGTTTCTTAGGCTTGGTGAATGGCCTTTTGTTGGGGCTGCTCGGCAGCTTGGACTGGCACTGTAATCTCACTGTGAACTGTTTCTTAGGTTTGGTGAATGGCCTTTTGTTGTGGCTGCTCGGCAGCTTGGACTGGCACTGTAATCTCACTGTGAACTGTTTCTTAGGCTTGGTGAATGACCTTTTGTTGGGGCTACTCGGCAGCTTGGACTGGCACTGTAATCTCACTGTGAACTGTTTCTTAGGCTTGGTGAATGGCCTTTTGTTGGGACTGCTCAGCAGCTTGGAGTGCCAGTAAAAGCTAATTAAAGGACAAACAACGTACAGTAGGACCAATCCTGAAAGAAAACTGAACTATGCTGCCATCTTGTGGGCAGTGTGACAGTTGTTTAATGATTTTTATTCTTTGACATGAGATTTGATCTAATGGAAAGGGCTAGGGGGGAGCGGCATGGTGGTGCAGTGGTTAGCACTGTTGCCTCACACCTCTGGGACCCAGGTTCATGTCTCCACCTGGGTTACATGTGTGTGGAGTTTGCATGTTCTCCCCATGTCATTGTGAGGTTTTCTCCCAAAGTTACTAAATTGCCCATAGATGTGCATGTGTACCTATTGTCTAGGATGTAACCATAAACCATTCCAAAATAATTAGTATGAGATTATATATGTATGTAAGTAAAAGAGCTCATTTGTATTATGGCTGAGAGTGTGATACCTTCTGAAGGGAATTATAAATTTTGACTTCGGGAATTACAATGTTAACCATAAGCATGATCTAACAGTATTCCTGTTACATGACTCAGCGGAATCCAAAAGATCTTGTATTATATCCAGGCTACAGTGAAAAACATTACTATACACAAGGAATGCAGATAATTTGTAAATCGTTTTGTTTAAGATTAGAGGCAATTCAGTTGATCTGTAATGTGCTCAGGGGCATAGGAACCCGGGGGGGGGGGGCAGAGGGGTGTGTACCCCCCAATATTTTGTTTGGATTTATAAATAAGTATTTCAATTAGTGTGTCCCCCTCCTCTGCCTTCAATATCAGACTCTCTCCTATGCTGTTGAATGTGGTTAATTCAAGGCAGATGTTATTCTTGTTTGTCTTAGTCAGGGTCTGCAGGCCCCGTGGGGCCCTTTTCTGGGATTACTTCGGGTAAATGATATCTGTCCCTCGTTCTGTCCTGCGGGGCAGCTAACTTGGTTAGCCCCCTCAATGACTAGAGGGCATAAAGCATGGCATGTGTGAGAGCAGGTTCTGGGGTCTCCCAGAATCCACGGCAGGGGAAGTGACGGAGAAAGGGGGGGTGGAGATCCAGCAGCGAGTTTATGGTGGG